TTTGATCTCCTTAGTGTTTCGGAAGATATTATCATGGTCAATTATGCCACTACCGTTTCCGACGGATGGATCGAAATATGGTGGTGCTTGTGGTGGCACCCTCATCGGAGTGATGGACACGTTAGCGTCGACACCTTCATTGATAGACTCGGACGCCACAGCGGACGTAGCGGCAGCGGCGTTGACGGGGTGATCGTCATCGTAGAAGCAGCTGTCCTATTGTCGTTATCTATTAATTTGTGTCAATCCAACGTATGATTTAATGTGTCTTCATAATTACGAGATGTAGTTATGAAGGTGAAGTACAGGTGTAATTAGCCCTAAGGAATATTGGAACCAACACGCTCACACATTATAAGAGGGGACCGGAAGCGAAGGTGGCCGTCCTCCTCAAGAATTCACCTCCCCCACACACAAACTTCTCTTTACTACAGCAGTAACACTTGTTCGAGGCAAAGAATCGATCGATCCCCACCGTCGCATCTGAGATCGACGGGTGTGATGTCGCCCTACAAGATCTGCATGGCGCATAATATTCTACTTCGATCCGTCCAAACTCTGACACACTGAAACCAGCCATCATCAACGCCCGTCTCAAATGAGGGTTTTAACAGCTAGCATTAAATCGAACACCTACTTGTAATCCTGTGAGAGGCAGAAGTTAGTCCATAAGAGAGAGAGTGTGCGAAAGAGACAGGAAGAGAGGCCTGCGACTGGCCTTGACGGTGACCCCTGAGTGGGTCTTCGACATGGCGAGATACCACCGCAGCAAGGGCCGCTGTCTCCTCCCCTTTTTCTGCAGCCTCTCATTTTCCCTCAACCTATTGGTCAGTGGTCTCTGAAACTCCCACCGACGGACCCAATCGGAGCTGCGAGGAGGAGGGAGGAAATCCAGCTCTCATCCCTCGTCGAACTTGAGATTGGTGAGTTCCCCCTCTTCCTTTTCCTTCTTCTTTTGTTGTTGTCTTTTTCTCCTTGTTAGGGTTTCTTGTAGGGCTTCACTTAATTTGGAAACAGATGCAATGTCTTTTTCTTTCCATATTGACGTACTTTTTTGGATCGCGGTGATCCTCGGTTCACCATCTCGCTGTAGGAGGAGGAGGAGGAGGCGAGGAGGTGAGATCGGAGAGGGATGGCGAGGGAGAAGATACAGATAAAGAAGATCAGCAACGCGACGGCGAGGCAGGTCACGTTCTCGAAGCGTCGAAGGGGGTTGTTCAAGAAGGCGGAGGAGCTATCGATCCTGTGCGATGCGGAGGTAGCGCTCATCGTCTTCTCCTCCACAGGCAAGCTATTTGAGTTCTCCAGCTCCAGGTACTGCGCTTCGACCTATGTATCGTTCATGGTCCTGTTTAGGGTTTCAACATTTACCTCTCCCTCCATATCCTCCTCTTCAACCATTAGCTTCGACTTCACCTCGAGAAGAGAGATTAAAAAGGGGTTTCTCTTATATTTAGCTGGTTCTGTGTCCCTTTTATGTTCTTGATATATAAATATGTATATATATACGTATATACCTTAGCCAAGTTAATGTGCATGATGTAGTTCAGGAGAATCTACCACTTGATTATAAGACATTTATATATTGAAAGATGCCACTTGATCAGACTGAGAGAGTCCGTCATGAAACTAGCGAAGAATATGGTAAGTTTAGGAGAGAAACCTGTGTGTATTGCATGAACAGCAAGCTCTTCACAACCCTGCAGTATTTTCTTCTCTGGTAGCTTACATGACACACTAGTGTGAATCTGTAGGATGTTGTCATAGGATGATCGAAGTAGAGAAGCAATGATTTTTAGTAGGATAAGCTTGATTTCAACTGAGAGAACTCATCTGACAAAGAAAAATGGAAGCATGAACCTCTTAGTGCAGGCCATCAAGGAAAGCAATACCAACTGTGGAACATTGTTTTGGAGTGTAAGAAAGAACAAGATAGTTAGAATCAGGTTAACCATATATGCATTTTCAAAGCAATATAGATCGTCACATGGTTCCTTTGCTCACGAAGTGTAGTCTTTAAGACAGAGATACTGGTTGTTTATCTTATGGAACACATCTTGAGAATATATGCATGATCATCTCCTTAATTTGATATCAGGAATTGGCTAATTTGCTCAACAACATCAAGAAATCACACATCCAGTAGAAGTTTCATTCTGGAGTTTAATGTTGATGAACTATATAATTATGATCAACCAAGTCAGTTTACTAAAATTAATTTTGCTGCCATATTACCCCAAAGATCTGGTCAAAGACCGATCTTTCCAAACTCTAGGAAGATCTATTTATGTACTGAAGAATCAACAAATAGCGATTAGGATCAAAGCATATATGCCCGGATTCTTCGTGTAGTGGCATGGCATGTAGTATGTGATATGCTCATGCTACCTGCATGTTGTTGCATTACGTACTAGCTTGGCACATGCACGCATGCAGCACCTTAAGTAATTGCCATCTTCCTTCTTCATGATAAGATTGTTACCACAAAGGATTTCATAATCGTTTAACATTTGGTTCCCTAATAGCTTTTTCTTGTTTGAAGCATGAAGGAAATACTCGAAAAGCATACCACACACTCGAAGAATTTGGAGAAAGCAGAAGCACCATTGATAGACTTAAACGTAAGACTCTTATCTGATTAGTATCCTCTACCGATATATTTAGTCTAAGCAGATGTAGTCTGATAATTAGTTGACCATCTGAGATACAATCATGTTAAGGTTGTTATACTTGTGATGTTATCTTGGCTTCGAAGTATTCAGCTGATGCCATGCATGCTTATAGCTACTGGAAGGAGGGATGCCAAAGCAATCACTGCATGCGCATTTTGATGGAAACTATGTAGCATATTATTTGCATTGATCTTGTTGTTTCCTAGACATCACCTCCTCGTAACTCAAGAGTGTGTAAGTTACTATATCAAGAACAATCAAGTTATTTTCTTCTTGATTTTGGGCTTGTCTTGTAGCTGTGGGGAAAGAGGAGTTAGCATTGCCTGCTAGAAAAGTTTATGCTTGGTTCAATGATATGTATGAGACAATAAGAAATCATCTGTGAATGTATTGACTTAGATTTAGATGAATGTATTAAGCTAATTTACTTTCGAGTTTGTTTCCTTTTTGCTATTGACTCTGCGTTGATTATAAAGTCAATTGCTGGATTGCATGCTGTGAAATAGTTGCAGATTATATCTAAAGCAGCAAACTAATCATCAGCATCTTGTTGTTCTATTGCAGTTAGATGATAGCAACTATACAAGCCTGAGCAATCAAATTGCAGATGCAAGCCTTCAATTAAGGTCTCTTTATATGCAAAAATATTTATGTATACATATGCATGCATGTAGGTTTTGCTGACTGAAAACATGCTGTGATGCAGGCAGATGAGAGGGGAAGAGCTTCAAGGGTTGACGATCCACGAGCTGCTGCGGCTGGAGAAAACCCTCGAAGAGGGATTAAGAAAGGTCCTGGAAACAAAGGTAGAACATTACATCTGAACTCCTTTGTGATAATTTCAAGTGTTGTTTACCAGTTGCATATTTCATTTTTCAGGGTCAACATATCATGGAGCAGATCAATGATCTTCAAGAAAAGGTGGCCTTACTGTTTCCCGCAGTACTTTTGTTGGCTGATATCATGTTCTTATAAAAAGAGGAAAATCATGCATTATCATGTGAGTGAACTCAAACGAATTAGCAAACCATCGATATATTTCAAGTACTACTATATCAGATAATGGTCATGTACATGATGAAGAGATTTCCTCAAGAAAAAGGAAAACGAATGATGAACAGATGTATCTATGTCAGCTCATTTCCTTATAACCAGTCTCTCTCTCTCTCTCTCTCTCTCTCTCTCTGTGTGTGTGTAAGTTATTGGTTTACCTCCTTGATAATGCTTTCTTGTTTCACAACCAGGGGAAGAAGCTGATGGAAGACAATGAGAGACTGAGGAAGCAAGTAAAGCCTTCTACTCGTCACTAATTAATCTCCTCTTTCTGCTTCAGTTCTTACTTTGCTCAAACAGCTTATGGAAAGCAGGTAGTAATGATGGCCAGGGAGGAGAAACAGCTCGTGACTGAATCAGAAAACATCACATATGAAGATGGGCAGTCGTCTGAATCAGTTTCTAATGCTCTGCAGTTAAGAATGCCTCAGGATACTGATGATAACTCTCACACTACACTGCAACTAGGGTACTATTCAGCTTCTCTTCTCTCTTGGTCTGTTTGTATTGAATATTTTGAGGAGGTATTGCTGTTCTACAATCAACTTGTCAAAAGCTAGCTTGTGCACTCAAGTATTCTTTACCTGCATGCATTGCTGAAACTTCAAGAGATGCTTAATGCGATTGTGCTGGTTTTGTGCAGGTTGCCAGTGTCAAAGTGGGTGTGACCGTGAGAGTTCTCTGGACATAGAGCTGCAGGATTATAGTTGTCGTGGATATGTGCACTCCTATATGATGACTGAGTATATAACATAACGTTTCCTGCTAACTACGCTGTGGTAAACAACTCCTAAAAGTATATGAGCAGTCTCTTGTGTGATTGATGACATCACTGAGCATTCAATAATCTTAGTTGGCTTTGATGTTTCCATACCAAAATCTTCTGTAATACGTCGTGCTTTTAAGGTTTTTGCGTTGATAATGTTGTAACTTAGAATATTCTAAATTTGTTTTTCACTTGCTTGGTCAAACATTTATGAAATTAGTCAAGAATTTTGTATACACACACCAAATAAGTTTATTTTCACTTGCTTGGTCAAACATACAGTCAAACAGTCACGAAATTAGATGACAACGATACATATATATATATATGACCCAAATTAGTAGACTGATGCGAGGAAAGTAATTATTAGCTACCATTGATAAGGTGGAGCCCACCTGCGGGGTCAGCCCTGGGACAGTCACAAGCCAGGTTGGGGCCGATGGTAAGATACGTAGGGAAAGTAGGGCAGAATAGTCCGTAGCGGCAATGTTAAAGCATCGCGGAATCATTCCTCTTTCGATCTTCTTCCTCTCTTTGACGGTTCAATCGCCGTTCACTCGTTCTTCCCAAGGAAGGAACGAAGGATGCCGCCTCGCAAGGGAAAGCGCGTCGTCATCTCCGTCTCCTCGTCTTCCGATTCCGATCGAGAAGCGTCGTCCGATTTCGATCGAGGAGAAGACGATGATGACTCCGATGATGAAGATTATGTCAATGACGACCTTGACGATGTAGAAGACGAGGAGGACGAAGAAGGAGAATCTGAAGTCGGGGAGGAAGAATCTATAAGGTCTTCTCGCCTCCCTTTTGGTTTCGATTCAATCTCCTATCATTCTGCGCTTAGCTTGTCTCGTTTTGTTTACGTCGTCTATCTCTGTTTTTGATGGAGATGATAGCAACGAGGACGATGAGGGGGATTCGGTGGACAAAAGATCGACAGATGAAGAACGATGTAACAAAGTCATCGATCTCTTAAAAAGTACATCTTCTTCGTAGATGCATAATACCACCAAAAATTGTGAGGTTTTGATCTGATACTTGTGGAGTTGGTTGAACATCTAGATTTTGGTTAGGAGACTTTTAGGTACTTCTTTAAAGCAAATTTATTTCATTGTTGGTTCGACGTGTAGTTGGAAGTTTCCAAGAAGTGCATATGTGATCATATTTACTAAGATTTTGTCAGTCCAGGGGTAATAAATTATGTACATATATTTCTAATGAAATGCTGCATTGATTTTATTATCTAATAATAGACAATGCTCTCATTGTTTAAACTTATATACCTTAAATTTCATGTTGCGTTAGAGATAGTGTCTTAAGATGATGCATTCTTGCATTTATCATATACTCTTTAGGTCCAGGTGCTTCAATTGTCTATTTTAAATTTACAATTCGTGAGTCACTAGGATTGTTTTATCTACTTAAGCTTATTTCATTGTTGTAGGTCTATAATTTTCTAAAGTCTCTTGTTATGCTTCATGCACCTTGTTGTGTTTTTCATGTATGTTTCTAAAGTATAAGAATCAAAATTTCCTGATAGTATAAAACAAAGCAGATGAGAAATTGATGAATCATTGTATGTCATGATTCTTTTTTCATCAGGAAAAGGAAGTTTAGATACTTTGAAATTGGAAGACTGTAAATCCTATTTGAGGAAGCATGGACTCCGGTTAAGTGGGACCAGATCTACCTGCATCAAGAGAATTTTAGAGCACTATAGGTCAGTCACATTTTCTGCTTCAAACTAGAGTCTAGTTACTAGACAACTAGTTTTTGAAAGCGTTTCTATTTTGGTTGTTTATTATTATTTTTTCATATTCTCTCTACTATGTGCTTATGCTTTTCTATTGCTTTCTCCTTGTTATTCTGTTAGGAAATGAACCTGCCAAAACTGATTGTTTGGATCTATACCCCATTGGTCTAATTTGACCAATGCTACAGAATATCATTTGCTGAAATGTGATCCTTACATACATTATGATGCCCTGTGGACAACCAATTAACAAGGGCTCTTTGATAATGCTCTAGTATAGTTTAAATCATTTTTGTGGCTATAAGCTTGCACTTAAACTATTTGGTTTTGCTGCAAGTTATGCTATAATGAAATGATGAATTATGTTCCAGAGAAAGCTTCTCTAAGTCTAACTAAATTAAGCCTTCTGCCAAAGAAAGTTCTGATGACTTCTTGGATCTTTAATGAATCATTTGTTTTTAGTTGCACGAATATGTCAGTCATTTTTTTCAGACGTAAATTTCTTTCTTTTGACTGGAAGGATGACAAAAGAAATGTCTGTCCATTTTTAGGTTTAAAATTGCTATTTCTAATGTGGTTTTATTCACTCAGGCTAAAAGATGGAAATGGTGAAAAACTATATCCAAGATCTTCCTTTGTTATAAACTGCACAGGTAGATAACTGATGCACTGGTTCATTTTGAACACAATTATTGATGCAAAAATCATGTTGAAGGTTTTTCATTTGTTTGGCAGGGGATGTATGTAAAGGTGATGTTGTTCTGTTCAGACAGAGGGTTTATGATAAGTATGTGTTTGGGGACTCCTGTTTCTTCTTGTACACTTTCTTTCAGAAACTTTCCTCTTCTGCTCCTTTTTTTTAAGAATGTCAATTTCCTAGTTGTTAAACAGGTTTGACAAAGTATCAAGGACTGCGAATATTATAGGAAAGCGGATAATTGCAGGAAGAGTTGTCAAGGAAAGTTATGGTGCAGCGAAACAGCAACACACTTTTACTGTAAGAACAAGATCACTAGTCCTGAAACTCTGTAACCAATAGTTTTTTTTCTCTCTCAATTGTTGTTTCGGTTTTGCAAAGGTTGAAGTAGTATGGTGCAAAGGTAAAAATGCTCTACCTCCCTTATTTCCTTTGCTTGTGAAGGGACGGAACCTCTACAGGCTAAAGACCTTCCGCCAGGTATTTGGTTTCTTTTTGTTAGGAAGGTTACTCTAACACTAGCATATTACAATTTTTATTATAACCTTAGCTTACTCTAAGGTTATTCTTCCAAATTTTGCATTATCACACTCTATAGAAATAGAAAAGAGCTGGAATAGAACAATTTTGATGTTCCACCTGAAAATTCTCCAATGTATTGTGAAGTTGATTATCCATCAAGAGAAAAACTGATCAGCAGGCATATAATTGGAAGATAAATAAAAGATCAAATTTAACCCTTCTATTCCCTTTTTTCAAATCTATCAAGCCCTTCTGATGTTTTTGATATTCTTGACACTACCCTTAGTTTAATTGATATATTTGTCCATAAACTGCACTCAATTAGTGTTTATGAAATGCATGCGCTGAATTCTGTTAAGTATAAAATAGTTCGACAATTTATGTCTGGTACAGCGTTGGAGCAATGAAATAGAGAGATCAAAGGTTCTTGCGGAAAAGCATCAAAGGGGAGCAGCAGCAAGGCGCATCAGAGAACTTTCGAAAGCTAAGTCTGGAAAAGGTGGTAATCATTGTCCTTACTCCCTGAGAACTAAACTTTTGGCATTTATATTTTTGTCTCAGTAAGTTCTTGATTAAATGATTTCATATCTATCTGCATAAGATGTCTATGACATTGATCTGTGGGTATTTGATCGTTGCTTACTGTTCCCTTCCCTGCAATTCCTTTTTCTGCTCTTTGGTTTTCTTTCAGCCTTCCTCATTCTTGTGGGAATGTTCAATGGACACATTTTTTGTCAAGTGAATAATTTTATGCTTCTTATGACCTGCTTATATTCAGTTGAACCAGAGTAGCAATATTGATAATATGGTAGTTCTCGAACTTAGAAACATTTTTTCCTATGTATATAACATTTTCCGTATATAGCATGTTGTCATCTATCAAAATTTGAAATGCATAAGGATCCTTGATTAAACAAATTATGATCTTATACACTGGTTCCATGATGCTTGGGTGATAGATGGATTGCCATGATAAGTAACAGAATAAGTTCACACAAGCTCATACAACAAAATAAGCAACTTCTAAGGTTTATGCAAGAATCTAAACTATTGAAACGGAGTTTGAAAATCATAAGGATATAGCTTTGCCCGAATGCTGTATATATACTGGGCTGTCTGCTGCATGAGGCTTCTGCCAAATGAGGTCTAGGGAGGTAAATGTAGGTGTATCATCCTGTAGTCAATCATGTTAATTTTGTGAGTGGAATCTTGATACCTTTGTCATGAATGAGCAACATTACTGCAATGCTCACAAATAATATTATTATAGGTTCCCATTTTAAGTCCCCAGTCTTTTCACAGATATGCCATTTAGACATGGAGCAATCACTTATGCAAACCTTTTTTTAAGTTTCAATCATCCAAACTATTTGTGCCTAGAGTTTGCAGCAGGAGCGATTGAGACATGCACTGATAAAAGTTTGGATATCTTGACTTGAAAAATTACCAAGTTACCCTTATCAGTTGGAAGCTATCATCTTTAGTTTGATGTATAATGCATACTCTAATTGATGTTCAACCCAGGTTCCAAGTGCCAGCAAAGTTCTTCTGATGCTAGGCCACATTCGAAGGAAAGAAGGATGGAAGATTCTAAACATGGTTCCGAAACAAAGAAACAGAAAGTTCCTTGTGCCTCTGCACCATTTAATGTTCATACAAGTATGAAGGCTACCATGACAAGAAATGTCAGTTCACAAAAAATTTCTAGTGCCAATGCTCCATTCAGTGCTCACGCAAATATTCAGGCCACCATGACAAGAAATATTGAGTCATCATATACTGCTCCAAGACATGCAAGTTATCATGAAAGCAGAATTCATCATCAACGCCTTATCCTTGAGAGGAACCCCTTCTACAATCATCACAATAGGCTGATGGAATTACATCATAGCACAGCACCACCGCAGACAAGGTGGAATTTTCATCCGGCATACAATCCAAATTATTCTATGGATGTGACTGGAGTTGCACATCATCATGCATTGAACATGGAACACACTTTTTGCCATCCTTGGGCCAGTGCTACTCCTAATGTTGGTCCATGGACTGCGAGGCAGCAATGGCGACAGTCAGATTATGATCCTGGCCCCCCATTACCTCCAGGTATGCAATTCCATAGATATAGGAGGCCTTGACATTTACTGAAAGCAGTTCTGGTTTTGTGGAAGGTAAAGGTTGCCTGTTCAGATGATTGATGTATTGACAGTTCAATACTCACTTGGCTGAAAGTACATATTTACAAGCAAGAGTACAAGTTCCATTTTGATGGTTCTTATAGTACCACAATCCAAATTGAAGACAGTAGGAAGATTTCAATGTTCACAAAAGTCTGTTTGAAGTCTTGGTCAGCTCATGAACATTTGTGTTGGATATCGTCCAGCAGCAAAATTATGTGTCAATACTTCCCATTGCGTCGAAGAAAGAAGCAGCATTTGGACTTCAATTGAAGAACAGCAGAAGTTTATCATCTTTTATATCCAAAGGCCAAAAACAAAAAGACAGTATGTCTGTTTTGATGGTTGAGATGGATGGTGTGTCTGAAATGCAATTTCTCTTATCTTGTGAAATCTGGGATTGCTTCAAACTATATAAAAATACTATTGGCAGTTATTGGAAACCAGATAGATGAGGTTGGAAATAAAACAAATAGAAAAAAACAAAGTTTATGGTCGCAGCTTCAAAATGTTGCCATCCAAGCAACTTGATATATGTTTGCTCCATGTTGATACTCTTGTCAACCAAGCCTCCCTAAAGGTTACTCTGAAACTTTAGTAGTGTAGGTCATGGTCTTATTTCTATCATGAACAAGGGACTATGCTTGACAATTTACTGGATGACTGTCAGGTTGCTGATGATGAATTATGAATGCTTAATGTCTACTTTTCTGTGTTGAGATGCGCAGGCAATAATGTATCTTACTTGGTGTATGTTTCATCTAAAAGTTGATATCTTGTGACAATGACAAATATATTTGAAGTTGCAGCTGATGGTGAAGGAGAGATGGCATGAGGATGTGATCTGGGTGTAATCCAACTAGCATTAGTATGTTCGGGAACCTACTCATCACCAGAAGAAGACGAGGCCGGAATGGAGATCAAAGTGGTGATTGTTTGGTACAAGAATAGCACAGGGTTGGTGATGCCTGCATCCCATGTCAATGCCTATCTCAAACGTCTAAGGTTGACAATGCAGTCACCGTGTTGAATTATATATGGCTGGAGATCGTTCACTCGAGCAGAATTTGTTAAAGCAAGAACTCAAGTGGGTAGGCACAGGAGATCCAAGTCTATAATCTCTCTCTAAGAGTCTCTGTCTCAGCTACATCGGACGACCGTAGGAAGGAGAATCGCATCGAAGTTTCATCCACGATGACCAAATGGTGCTTTGGAAACCCAAGTAATACGAGGATACAGAAAACATCACCTCATCACAGAACCAGAGAACAAAGAACACAAGTACTTATCATGCTTTTTATCCTATGCATGAAAACAAACGACATCGTCGGTAATACATGTTTTATCATTTATGAGACGAGGAGGAGCCACCGAACCCCTTTTGGATGCTGTGGATGGCCGGGTTGAAGCGGAGGCAACCAAACAGGCCATGGTGTTGGTAAGGCAGAGGTGTCTGCTTCTTCTTCCTCTTCAACTCCTCGGATGCAGCGCGGTTTGGTGAGTAGTACATTTCGTGTGGATCTGCAGCTCCTCCTCCTCCTCCTACCGATCCGCTGTCATCGATCCGCTTAGAGGGAGGCAGCAGCACGGTGTAGCTGCGCAGGGGATCCTTGCTTCCTCTTCCCGTCGCCCGCCCTTCCGATGCGCTGCGGAAGAGGAACAGGTCCTTCAACTTCCACTTCTTGCTGCCGCCACTCTTCACCGAGGCGGAGGAAGAACTCGGGGACTTGCGCAAGCCGTCTTCCTCCTCTCCTCCTCTCCGTGGAGAGAGGGGCTTCGACCCTCTCCCGGCCTTGGAAGAAGCAGCAGAGAAGGTAGGAAGGAGAGCCCTCTCTCTCTCTCTCCTCAAGGCTGTTTCCATGGTCACAACAGGGGCTGCTGATGACGAATAACGAGACCGACGAGGTGGCAGCATCAGGGGGCGGATCATCCCTTCCTCGAAAAGCTCATCGGCAGTGGCGAGGGCCGGCGTCGGCTTCTCCCCCTCAGACCGCCCGCCAAAGCAGAAGGCGAAGTCCGACGCCTCGGCCGGGTACACGCCCGCAGCCCGCGATGGGCTGGTGGGTGCACTGGTGTAGCAGTAATAGCCGCAGTAGTCCAAGGGATGCTGGGGGCTCGGCGGTGCAGTCACGTAAGAGGAGAAGGGGTTAACTTTGGCCGGCGCCATGGGCACGGCCACCACCTCCATCTGCCTTCTCTGCGTCTGCAAAGGCTGATAAGAAGGACTACGTTGCATGGGTTGGGGGTTGATGAAGATGAGCAGCAATGTGCAACCTTTTCTTGGTCAAAAAGGGTGAGTTAAGCATGCCGATAGAGATGGCCGCATGGGGATGGTAAGTAAGCTGGTCTTAATTTTCCTTTGCCCTCAGGCTGTCACCATTCTTGATTTCTCAACACTAACATCATCATCTTCCCTGCAGAAAATGTTGAAGAAACGAAACTGCCTGCGTTGGTTGGGCTTCCAGATTTAATCAAACCTTTGACTTTTGAAGGGTTCCATGAATCCAACAAGGTTACATCAGGTCCACCTTTTTCACACGTTGTACGGATGTATGTGTCACACCATCAACCGCATTTGATTTGACCTATAAATATAGAAATTATAGTAGATATCTATAATAATAGAGAACACAGCATCAAAGATGAGCGAGCTATTGAGATGAAGGATTCAAGAAGAAGAAAAAGAAGACATCTTTGAGGTGACTTTATGATTCAATAAGAAGAATGTCTTTGTTGGCTTTATGATGCGAAGAAGAAGAATATTTTTATTAAGATATTTATGTATTATTATAGTACGAGTGATATATCTCATGTTTTAATATACTTGTAAGTATCATAATATATTATTATTTAATATAATAATTAAAAAAAAAAAAGAACATATCTTCAATAAGAAAGTGCAAAACTTTGGTGCGGGTGTTTTGAACTTTGGGAGCCCAAGAAAAACTGTAGCGGAGAAGAGATTGATAATTGAAAGAAAGCGAAAACATCTTTAGGTGCACCGAGAAGGAAGAAGGAAGCGGAGAGATAACTCATTTTTGTTGCGGCTTTGAAGTTTTCGAGAGCCCAAGAAAGGGTATACTAGAGGAAAGAGAAACGATACAAGAAAACAACTCGAATAGTGAAGAACGAGGAGAAAAATATTTCTGACTTAATTAAACAAATCAATTAGTATGACTCACTGAAATTAAGATAATATAAACTTAATTAAACACATACGGTGACAATGTTTCTGACTTAATTAAACAATCTCATGCTGGGATTGGTCCTCATCACGAGTCATTACTCCGTATTCAGCTCAAAAAATGAAAGCCTCAAATCATCAAGCTATATATATATAGCTAACCATCCATTGTTCTGACAACAATGATCTTTATAAGATCATATCATCATATCCTAAAATTGATCGGCATCCATTTCCGCACAAATTAAGAGTTGAAATTTAGTCATAACTGGGACAAAATCTTAGACTCAGTAAGAACCAATAGTTCAAACTTAAGTTCATAAGTTTACACACATCACACAACAGGGTTTATGACTGGCTCACCGACCACCATCGACTGCTACAACTATGCTGCAAGATTGTCTTTTGGAATCAGCAACAAATGATCTTAGTTCACTTGTTGTTGGTTTCCATAAAAAGCATAAGCCCCATATGGTACCGCATACATGCCGGGGTAATGAGGAGGCAAACCGTATCCATCATACATTTGTCCCCCGTAGTACATGCCGTTCCACCGTTTGCCACGTTCGGCTCTTGACTGTCATCAGCAGCAAAAGAATCAACTTGTTAGATTATACGGTGTATGATTAGTACCCATTTGTCGGAGGATAGAACTCACAAACTTTTTTACACCATCTAGCTAATCAGACATGAACCCTCTCGGTAAATTTCTTGATTTGCACACCAACCTAAAGAATTTGATCAAGAAATTACTGACATCAGTGATACATAGGGCAACATGTAGCAGGAACCACCACTGGCATCAAAATGCTCCACCACCATACAGAATTTATCAACACATGAACCACAGTCAATATATTTTCTCATTGACTCGGCCATTGCCATAACTACCAAGGTTTTACTTCCTGTGGTAAACCTGCATGAGGACTGACTCAATTGGGACAGTTTGATCTGGCACAGAACCAGTTTGACAGTAACACATGTATTATGGGTAGGCACCTCAGACACATGCAGGACTCAACTTGGCTAGCTCGATAAGAAACCAAGCCAGTTTGTCATGATTTCAGGAGCTAGACACAGCCCTAACTTGACCTCAACAAATTAGATCTAAAAGTCAATGAATCCAGAAAGTTCTTCTTCACACTTAGTGGTGACTCCGCCTTGGTAAGAGTTTCTTTTGCAGGAAACAAGTAGTGACTATGCTTTAACTTTGAAGTTTAAATGTCAATACCTGTTTATTAGCAGGGTTGCGACCCCAGGATAGACGCACTGTTTGCTTGCCAATAACTGTACCATTTAATTGATTCATTGCTTCTTCAGCATTATTCCTGCATGGGTAAAGAAGAAAACATACCCACAGATCAGCTATCTTTTTGAACTGTGGCAGTCACTTCTGTATGCAATGTTCAGAAACAAATATTAGCAAGATGTACCTATGGATGAAAAGCACAAAACCACATTGTTTTCCAAATGGAATTTTAACGGAGGCAATCTCTCCATACTGTGAAAAAGCTTCTTTCAGATCATCTTCGCTGACATCTGGATCAAGCCCTCCAACAAATACCTTCAGCAGCAAATATATTGTTGAAAGGCAGTACAAATACACATTACCTCAACAGCATGCATGCACAAAAATCTCCTTACTGTTGTATTAGCAGAATCGACATCTGATTGTGAGCCAGCTGCAGGTGAACCATTTTGTCCAAAACCACCTAAAAGTATCCATGGTTAGGGTTTCAAGGGCATGTGAGATCGAGAAACATTATTGATACCAATCCAAGACAGAGATTGGATCAGGAATGAAATCAACCAATCAAATTAGGTCTAGGGTTGAGTATGGGAATTTTATTGTTAGCTACTGTTTTTTCTTGCTTAGAATTTTATCTGATTTCAAAATTATTCTACTGTGTTGTCACAAGGAAACAGAAGTAATTAATATCAAGTTCTTGCTGAATTTGACTCCAAGTTGGTGGAATCAAAATGGTCATTTGCCACAAGGTTGGTTGAATTTGACTCCAAGTTGGTTGAATTTGACACCATTTTGATTTTGAATTTGACTGTTGCTGAATTTGACTCCAAGTTGGTTGAATTTGACACCAACTTGACTCCAAGTTGGTGGAATCAAAATGGTCATTTGCCACAAGGTTTCCATATTTAATTATGTAAGATCCTAAATAGAATAAACAAAAGTTTGGTCTATACTCAACTTTATATATACAGGAAAGATTACTCAAAGTGGCAGATTTTTCCTTCTTGTTCCATGCTGCCCTCGTTTCTCCTATTTTTTTATCTCGAATCTCAAACCACAGTCAAGCTAGGCCAAACTTCATCACTTTCCTGAATGGATTTAATGAATTCAATCCAGCAGCGGAGTAACCAATTATTCCAAACTAAACCAGTCAAGACTGATTGGCTAACTAGTTTCTCTAGAACCAGAAAACTATATTTTGTTTTCAATTGATACAAAACCAGTGTGACTAACTTTATACGTTTGACAGACAAAGCCTTTGTTTTTATATCATGAAGCAAAATTCTATACCAAGAAGTTGCTTCTGTTTGTAGACATCAAAGGGACAATGAGAGGATTAACGATTTGAAGGGTATAACAAAATACTGTATTGGTTAACATTTTCTACATGGTTTATTCATTAATTTAGTTGTATTTTGTGATAGCCAACACAAAATTCCATCCGCAGGGAAGAATTGTTTTTTAATTGAAATGCTTTAAGAAATTAATATTTTCAAAGGAATCAATAAGGTGATTATGTACCTCAAATACATCTCCTTTGTACACAAAAGATACCTCCAAGTAAAATTTCCAAACATACTGACCGACAAATGTCAATGACAGGCCATAAAGTGTGTGATTACATTGACAGAGCCTACTTTTATGATATGACCTTGCATACTCTAAATCTGCTTTCCCTGTCGGCTGGTTAGGGCTGATTTAGGATCCTATCCATGATGAACATTCATCTTTCTATAATGGTCTAAGGTAAGAAATGACCATATGTGGAGAAAAAGGCCAGTGAAAAACTAATGAAGTAAAAAATTTGTTACTAAAACACATCAAACGACTTGACACGTGGTAAGCAATTACAACAAAAAATTATAGCTACAACAATAGAGGAAAAAAGTTCACATGATAGATCTTCAACTAAATTATTCACCATTTCACGTTTCTCATTCCACGTATTACATTCCATCAGTTACCAACAAGTGGGCTGTAAAAAGCATGACACAGTGGCCTATATTTCTGCAAATATGCAGGAAATATATGTGGAGAAGTGTAGAACTAGAGATTTCCATAAAGACAAGGATCTTGTCTGCATAAAAGGACAATACAACAGAAAGACACACCCATCGCATTCATATGATACTATACATATGCATGATTCTCCATATCTCCGTTTGTGTGTTTTATATACATGTCTATATGTGTCTGTTCACTCGAGATATACAAAAGCAATACTGGTATTCATTTCTAAAAATATTTAAAATTACAACAAAAGCTCTCGGTTTGTCACATTTAACTACAAGAAATATTAGACAAAATTAACCTCCTTAATATTATATTATACGCATGCTTACCTTTAGTTACTCGATGTTAGTAGAAGTTCTTATATGATGATCCACGATAGTATAAAAAACTATTTTGTTATAGTACCAAGGACCAACAAATTCAAACAAGCATACCACCAGAAAAAGTATCTCACTCTACAATTGAAATCCTCATGATACCCCCTCACCACCCATTACTTTGAACAATAAAAGAGAGATACAAACTGTGAACTCTATGGTCATCAATTTGACTGATAAATTTGGAGTGTAAGATAAATTTATGCTAAACAAAGGGTGGGAATAGGTCAGATCAGGCTAGCTCAAGCTCAAATAGTAAGACAACTGATCATTATTTCAGACTAAGAATTAGATAAAAACTAATATAAGTTTCAGCGTAAATAAAAGTTGTTTTACAAGTTGCTACAGCTAAGCTGACTAGAACCTTTAGACAGGTAAAGATCTCAAATTCAGACTAAAATTCTCAATTGGACTTCTTGAATACAGCAGTTAGCAGAAAGTGATACAAAAAAGGAAATAGGAAATGACAGAATAGAAACAAGTCATGATTGGAAATATGGAAATGATATAACAAAAGAAATAGAACCTTTAGAGGGCAAAAAGGCAATGTAGAACCATTACCTTTGTCCAACAACTCAAGTGACCATCTTCGAAGCTTGCTGTTTCTTTCTATTCAAAATTTTATCAGCTGCCAGTTAGATTACAATATACACCAGTACTAGCAAATGGATGAAAACCCTCTGTTCCAAAGTTCCAACATAACTCCTAATAAACCCAAACTTCAGTTCTGACATAAACACTTAAAGAGTCATCGTGATTACCAAGTTAACTTCCCATGGGTGCTACACATTTTTCTAGGTTTCCAATAACATTTTAAAGGACTTGACAGAAGACTATTCCATATTGAGGTAAAATTCTTTTACTATAATTGCCAACAATAGGGATCGGCATTTTTCTATCTCCGGTAATCCTGCCCATTCCTTCAACTGGTTGAGCATAGCTATAACTTAGCCACAAGCCCATCCTCTACAGAAAAAGAACATGCTACACAATAGAAGGGAAGGAAAATAGAATAACAAGAACATGGGGACACAGGATCTGGGTGACCAATAAACCATAGACAACGAATTTGGTACACAATCAAGTGAGACAAATGGAGAATACCCCAGAAAGAATATAGAGGTCGAAGTTAGAGAATATTATGCTATGAAATCTTTTGATGCAGCATGGTTTAGGAATAGGGCCACAGGAGAATGCCTTCTGCATCATGCATCATAAGAGCAAAATCCATGAAGCATATATGAATATTCAAGCATCTCAAGGCATGATCCATCGTTCTTAATCAATAGGTTGACAGACAAATATAGGATCTGAAGATTCTGAACTTTCTTTGTAGTAAAGAAAACTTCGTTAGCCATCAGGTGAAATTAAAAACAATAATTTTAGTTTAAGATGGTACATATAAAATAAAATATCTTCATCTTTAAGACAATATCATGTCAGCACCAACTAAGAATTGACGAAGTTGTTAAGCAGCCTCATAAAAGAACAAATTTGAAAAAGATAAGCTAACAATGGCTAAAAAAGATTTAGACATACCGTAAGACTTCCTAGGTGTAGCAAGGCCAATGCGCATAGGCCTAGTCGAACAATAAACACCGTTCATTTCAGTGATGGCAAGTTTTTTCTCACTCTCATCTCCAAATCTTACAAACCCATAACCTTTTGAGCGCCCAGTATTTGCATCAACGACAACTTTTGCACCTTTTACTGATGAGAACTTGGTAGCAAAAGTTTCATGCAAAATTGAATCAGTAACATCAGAAGCTAAATCACCTACAAAAATAGAATGATCAGAAGCAAGATCTGAACGCTTGTCGCCCATGCTAAATGATGCCCAATTTAACCGAAATGGCTGATCTGTGTTTGGCATCGGATGATTGCTGAAGTTCTGAAGTACTTTTTCAGCGGTTGCATGAGAATGAAACTCAACAAACCCGTAACCCTCTGATTGTCCCGTTTGCTTATTGCGAATAACCTTTATAGAGATAACCTGCATGGTAAGTTGTTATATCAGTACAAGGCAAGCCGCTACTCAAAAGAGTTTAGTGCCACTATACTATCTTCTTGTTCAAATGGAAAACTAAGAATGAGCTCATTCTTTAACTTTAGCAGGCTTATGACTGTCTGTCAGCCTTAATGTCAATAAACCAGAATTGCAGAGAAATAATACCTCAATGGACCCTGATAAGAAAGGTGAATCCTACTGGCTTTGGCTGATTCTAATTAATTTTCAGGGATATAAATAGAAAGAGAGGGGTTTAAGAATTTGGCAAGATTACGCAGGAACATGGCCAACTTTCAGTCTAGACAAACGATCCAGATCAGACTGGCTGATCCTGTGATATTTGAGAAAAACACCTAGCCAACACACATCAAGCAAAAACTTATGGAAGATTAGAGTAAAACTCGGTGCAAGGCAAGCCCAAGGATGGAAGCTTGGTTGCCAGGCCCATATCAGTTGACATCACAAAACGACTCTATGCAAACAAGAAGCATATAGAACCGACAGGTTCCGTCATGCTATACATCGTGAACCAATGTTTGTTAAATTAAGTACCTTTTAGTAACTTGTAAAGGTATATACTGGCTAGGCAACATGTTAAATTAAGACATCATGTGAAGGAAACAATAATTATCAGTCAATAAATGCTAGTTAGGCAACACATTAATTAAGTTCTCATGACACCAGCTGTTCATCAAAGTCCATTTAATTCCAAAAGAATGTTCCTAATTTAAAAACCAAACAAATCAAAAAGAGATTTCTTGTCTCATGTAAAAATCACACATGCAGGAAAAAGAAAAAAAGAACACACTGAAAATTGTCTTAAGCTTCTTTACTTACTGTCATGGTTGTTACTTATTGCATGTGAAAAGTAACCAACTGGTGCATGTGACAAGTTTTAGTATTATTATTTGTAACTGATCCATAAGCTAAAAGGACTGGCTACAAATAAAGATTTAATTAGCCAAATATAAAATATAAAAGTCGGAACTTGGGGTTTATTCCTTCCAATTTGAGCAAGCCTGAACAGGAAGAACTTGCTGTGTTCCTTACATAATAAAGGGGAAATAAAGGACATATCTACCATGTTGCACATTGTTGCTTAACAAGAAGATGTCATGCAAAGTGTACAATAATATTATCAATCAGCAAATATTAGTAAGATAACAAATTATCTAAGCTTTTACAATGTTACTTCATTATAAGAAATCGACTTTATTCTTTAATCATCTTACCCAATATGGCATAAAAATAGCTGTAGGAGGACTATCTCAAAACACTTTTCCTTAGTTATGCAGAAAGCATACTGATATAGTAAACAGTGAATTGCCTGAAGATTCTTCCATTAACTCTTCCTAACTCCTAATTTCTAAATACCAAAGACAACTAGCAAGCACACAAGCCAAGTTTGCCCTTTTTTTTATTACTATTTACATGCTTACCACAGGAGCCCTTTCCATGTTCAACATTTATTATTAGTACTGGTCAATTTCCTAAAATTGAACTTTCAGAAATCAAGGTGCATGACAATCCAACCTATATAATCATCCATAAACATCTGGAATTTCCACTAAACTCATAGCTATTTTAAGGATCTAACAGAACAAAAAAAAAAACATTTTATGTTCACCAACAGATCCAGTCTTAAGAATCAAAAGGTAGAAAGGTCTGCCAACTATAGATTACAAGTCCTCAAGAGACTAAACCTTTTCCAGAGTTGACATTTGTAAACAGATATAACAACAACTGAGACCAAATTCTTGCAATTGCATGTTTAAATTAGAAATCTAACAGAATTTTTAAAGAACTATCACATCCCACGAAGATGTAAACTAAAAAGCACTTAGTTACATCATTTTGATTACGCACTTAATAAGCCTGAATATGTAGGTACTGCACCAAACTCCTGTAAGGCAGACAAAAGAGATCAGGAAGATCCAATTCCTTATAGCAATCAAAGAAAAGCAAAGGACTTCCTCCTCAAATAGAACTACAACATCTAACGGCGAAAGAATCAGGCCTGACCTCACCGGTGTGGCCGAAGCAGCTATGGAGGTAGTTCTCGTCCATCCAGTACTGGAGATCCCCCACCCAGATCGTCCGCCTCTCGTCCTCTGCCGCAGCCTCCCCGCCCTGCTGGTAGCGGATCGATTTCGACATGGGCGGCGGCAGAGGTGGAGGCGTCGGGGGCTGGTGGTAGGGCACGAAGGGGTGCCCGTATGGCGGCGGCGGTCCCATCATCGGGTGCTGCATCACCATCGGCGGCGCCGGGTACCGCACCGCCGCCCAAGGCTGCGGCGGAGGTGTGCGCCGCGGATCTACGCCTGCCGCCGGTTGCATCGTCGCCGCCGTTGCGAGGAGGTCGGCGAGCGAGGCGGAGCCGCAAAGAGACGGAGGCAACCGGTAGAGAGAGAGAGAGAGTGAAAGAGAGATCTCGTGGGTTGCGATGAAGGGTTTAAATAGGGAGGCGGCTTCCATGAGCGGTTTGACATCGACCGTCAGATCTAGATGTACGCGATCTAATCACCGTCGATTCGTTCTCGTGACTAGAGGGAGTCCCCAGCGCCGCGGTTTTGACCAGATCCGCGTTCATACCGGACTGCCACAAACGAACTCGGTGCCGGTTCGACATATAACGGCCATGCCGGTTTAATTAATATTTACAGACACTAATGGGCCGGCCTGAAGTCCATGGGCTTTAGTTTAATGGTCTGATACGTTACCCCTCGTTACATTATCTAAGATGTTGATCACAAAGTTGTTTGATAGATAACCTTCCAATATCTCAGATTTTATTAACTTATCAGTACACCACTAAGCATCTAAAAGTACTTTAGAATGGATTTTTTTATTGTTTTGGGTATAAAAGTGTGGGAGTGGAAGAATATATAGGAGGGCATGGCCCATATTATTTATTTCATAATGAGACTGATGTGGGATAAAGGAACATGAATTTATGACTCATCATTGGATCCATTTTGTGATTTTTTTATTAATTGGATTTATTTGACAACTATAAAATTTCAGTTTCTCTGGTTTTAACTTAAACATCAAATTTCTTTGAACAGAAAAATTAGGTTAGATTATCAAATATTGTACAGTGAACAACTTATTTTTCTTAGTCATTAATTCTTTTAGCAGGCTATTGTTTTTTGTTATGAATACATATACACAGAAGGTCCTTTAAGTGGCAAAATAATTTTAAATAACTATTCTAATTATATATTTTAAAACAATTAAATGTAACTTGTCCTTATTTATTCTTTTTACAAATAATATAACTTTTTTAAAAATAAAATAAATACCTTACATGAAAGCAAACATGGAGTTACCTTGAGAAAGCCTGTTCAAACTCCCAAGAAGTAGGACAAATTTGCAGACAACCAAACACACAGTTGGATGTCTGTTAATCCTGCAGTCAAAAAGATCAACAAGCAAGAAAGTGAATCATTGCAACAGCAGCAGCAGTAACAACCACCAAAACCTTGTGACAATTCTTTCCATGGTGAAGGATAGGAATGCATAGATATGGGACCAGGAAGAAGATGACCTTGATATATAATAAATGGATCAGCAGTCCTAGAGTGAGTTCTTAGTCATCATCCTGCATCTCTTGTTGAAATAGGAAACCCTGAAACCTCATGGGGTACTGTAACCACCAACAAATCAAAAGCTTCCACCATCAGAGCAAATATACTGAGATGGAGGGGTGGAAAAGCCTGTTGTAAGGAAGAAAGAACAAAGACACACTGGACTTATACCAACTGGTCTTGTTCTCACAATCTATTATTGTATTGACATGGGTTTATACACCATGATTTTTTTTACACTTGGTTGATATAATAATTTTATGCCTACCCAATGCCTCCTGTTTGCCATGGAACTTATGACAGCATGTTAAATGAAACAATCCATGTCATGTGTTTCTGCATTTTAGCAAGTAAGTCTTACTTACAATAAGGAACAGACTAGGACCAACTTAGATCTCAAGAGCATGCATGAAAGCAGCTGTCAGTCAAGGAAGAACTTTTATATAACTCAGTCTGATATGACTACAAAGAGCTCCAAAAAATAAGGGTTATGTAAAACTTTGTGCTTTCCTTGATGAAGGTGATTCTCTTGGAATTTTAAGGAAAAAAATTGCTAAAAGAAAGATCAGAGTGGATGACCATCGTGCTATTTTTCCCTTGAATAATAATGCCACCTGCATTGTGGTAGGCAAGCAGTAACACTTACTGACTTCTGAGATGCATGTCTGCAATGTACTGGTATCAGAATCTTCATTTCTTGAAGAGTGGAGTTCCTGATTGCTATGCACAATAGACAAAGGCATCTTGTGTTGTCTCTGGATGTTCATGCTTTTGCCTGATCTAACCAAGCCAGACAACAGAAAACAGCAGGCAAATATGTGGATCAGTGTGGCCTTTTGGAATCAATTGTCAATCTCAGAGAACTGCCTCCCTCTTCTGCAGAATGGCATGTTGACATGATCAAGATAAAATTCTAAGGCTCTTTTAAAAAACCTCACTAGCTTGTAAGAATTGATAAAATTTGTAACGGTTCTCACTTCAGTCTTTTTTTTGTTTTTCATCAAAACAGAGAAACCTTGAACTTTCAACTACCAGTCCAAGATTTAGATCCCAGTTGTTTGGTGAGCCAAAGCAGTGGGGATCTGACAGATACTTCACCAAACATTCATATAGTTGACTTGCTCTGACATGCCCAACGAAAGTGTCATCCTTGGCACAAGAGAAAGTAGAACACCAAAAAATTTACAAGGACTGATAACCAAGTAACTTTTGCTGTACAAACTTAAATATTGAAGGCATCATGCAGTGACTTGACACCTTCTGGGAGTTTCCACTCATCTGAAAGCTAAGACCGTATCAACCGCTGCCATGTTTAGATTTTGACTGGTCCTAACTTGAGCAGCTACATGTGGCAGCATGGATGTACACATCCTAACCCCTGTATATGGTGAAAAGGATATACTTTACCTTGTGTAACATATCGAGCTGAATCCACTCTGGCATCAGCATATTGGACAATAAAACCTGTCTATGGTGAAAAGGATATACTTTACCTTGTGTAACATACGGAGCTGAATCCACTCTGGCATCAGCATATTGGACAATAAAATGCACCACCTCTTCCTCACTGCATCATGTCCAGTCCGAGCTTTTGCTAGTCTGCAATTGACCAAATGATAGCCCAAAATTTATTGGTTATGAAAGCATTGACAGATTGATCTAATGTTCTCATTCAGTCATAGATTAAGTACAATGTACTTGTGATTGCATACCCATGTGTATCAACAAGATCAGCTTGTTCCATATCTTGGATCAATATGATGCCTCCAAACTGAGATGGGTTCTGAGAATCATGTTGGGCTTAAGCTAGTTAAGTTAAGATTGGAGAAAGCATATCGAGAATCCATGGTTCTTCTGTTTGAGACTTCAGAAAGGAGGCCACTGGCATTCTGAGGACCACAAAAGCACTAGCAGAGCCCTTTCTGGTGTCATTTTAGTCTCAGTGACGTGAAAGTAAACTAAACCTGTTTCTCCTCTTCAAAAGCTTTAGATTCCTTAGTGCTCTCAATCCCCACTCCTGTCCTTTTCCTGTATCCATTGTTGTAGACATGCATGGGTGGAGGAGATCCCATCTATCTTTTTTCCCCCCCTTTTTCTTTATCAAGGAGATGACTAGCCATGGAAGTTCCCTAACACCCTTATCATGAAAAAGGAGCAAAAATCTGTCACATCCTTCTTAGGACCACAAGATGCACTTGATCTCAGTCTTCAGTCAAGTAATTTCTTTTGAGATCCTCACCTGCAGAGTGGAATGGATTAGAATGAACTAAACATTTTGGTTTTCCAGCAATTGTTATCTAACAGTATCCAAGGATTGACCTGAATGATTGCATGTAGTGAATCATCTGAGACACACAAAAAAAGTACACTGCCTAATCTAGTAGATGATTGAAGCATCTCCAAGTATCAAACACATGGTGCGCGTCAGGATTGTCCCCCTTCCCAACAGAGCAAAAGAAGAAGAGGAGGAAGACAGAAAGCAAGGAAGAAAGCTTTCTCCTAAGCTAGAGGACAAGCTATATTTGTAGCGTTCAGTGGTCCACCCCCCAGGCCTTTCACCTCGTTCTCTGCATGAACCCTAGCACCGCGGCCCTCTTGCAAACCTGATCCTGGCAAGAGAGACGAAGTATCAGGTAGGAGCCATTCGACCTTGTTTTCTGTGCCCGATTGGAGTCCATGTGCATTCATTCTTGCTCAGACTTCCTCCGTCCCCAACGAGGAAGAGAACTTTCTTCCAAGTAAGGTTTCAGCTCAAGAACTGTGTTCGCGAGCAGGTCTTTAACAGTCCCACGTTAATTGTATATATATATATATATATATATATATATGTGTGTATATGTATATATACATATCTGTATATGTATATATATGTGTATATGTATATATATATATATGTATTTGTATATATATATATATATGTGTATATGTGTATATATATATATATATATATATATATATATATATATCAAAATTTGATCATCAATTCGAAGTGATGTGTTAAATTAGTTTCAATTTATTGATTATTGGTAAGAGATTTTCATAGAACTCACGAATCTATTCTTTATAGTGTTAACTTTATTAATCTCTTTAATTGTTATTTTCGATAGACTTTTCATCATCGTCAAAAACTAAAATGGCATGCCTAATAATAATTATTATATATTTTCATTTATAAACTAATTCTAATATAT